TGTTCCATTGATCGATGTGTCTGTTTTTGTGCCAGTACCATACTGTCTTGATGATGACAGCTTTGTAAGAGAGCTGGAAGTCCAGAATTGTGATGCCACCAGCTTTGCTTTTCTTTTTCAACATTCCTCTGGCTATTTGGGGTCTTTTCTGGTTCCATACAAATTTTAGGATTATTTGTTCCATTTCTTTGTAAAAGGTTGATGGTATTTTGATAGGGAATGCATTAAATGTGTAGATTGCACTAGGTAGCACTGACATCTTCACAATATTTGTCCTTCCAATCCATGAGCATGGAACGTTTTTCCATTTCTTTGTGTCTTCCTCAATTTCTTTCATGCATGTTTTATAGTTTTCTGAGTACAGATTCGTTTCTTCTTTGGTTAGATTTATTCCTAGGTACCTTATGATTTTGGGTACATCATTTGTTTTTGATGTAGTGATCCATGATTCATTGTTTTCATATAACACCCAGTGCTCCATGCAATACTTGCCCTCCTTAATACCCATCACCAGGCTAACCCATCCCCGCACCCCCTCCCCTCTAAAACCCTCAGTTAGTTTCTCAGAGTCCATAGTCTCTCATGGTTCATCTCTCCCTCTGATTGCCCCCCTTCATTTTTCCCTTCCTTCTCCTAACGTCCTCTGTGCTATTCCTTCTGTTCCACAAATAAGTGAAACCATATGATAATTGACTTTCTCTGCTTGACTTATTTCACTTAGCATAATCTCCTCCAGTCCATCCATGTTGATGTAAAAGTTGGGTATTCATCCTTTCTGATACCTGAGTAATATTCCATTGTATATATGGACCCCATCTTCTTTATCCATTCATCTGTTGAAGGGCATCTCGGCTCTTTCCACAGTTTGGCTATTGTGGACATTGCTGCTATGAACATTGGGGTGCATATGGCCCTTCTTTTCACTACATCTGTGTCTTTGGAGTAAATACCCAGCAGTGCAATTGCTGGTTCATAGGGTAGCTCTATTTTTAATTTTTTAAGGAACCTCCACACTGTTTTCCAAAGTGGCTGTGCCAACTTGCATTCCTACCAACAGTGTAAGAGGGTTCCCCTTTCTCCACAACCTCTCCAACATTTGTTGTTTCTTTCCCTGTCCATTTTTGCCATTCTAACTGGTGTATGGTGGTATCTCAATGTGGCTTTGTTTTGAATTTCCCTGATGGCTAATGATGATGAACATTTTTTCATGTGTCTGTTAGCCATTTGTATGTCTTCTTTGGAGAAGTGTCTGTTCATGTCTTCTGGCCATTTTTTGACTTGATCATTTGTTTTTTGTGTGTTGAGTTTGAGAAGTTCTTTATAGATCTTGGATACCAGCCTTTTATCTGTCGTGTCATTTGCAAATATCTTCTCCCATTCTGTGAGTTGCCTCCTTGTTTTGTTGACTGTTCCCTTTGCCGTGCAGAAGCTTTTTATCTTGATGAAGTCCCAAAAGTTCATTTTTGCTTTGTTTCACTAGCCTTTGGAGATGTATCTTGAAAGAAGTTGCTGTGGCCGATGTCCAAGAGGTTACTGCCTATATTCTCCTCTAGGATTTTGATGGATTCCTGTCTCACATTGAGGTCTTTCATCCATTTTGAGTTTATCTTTGTGTATGATGTTAGAGAATGGTCGTTTCATTCTTCTGTATATAGCTGTGCAATTTTCCCAGCACCATTTATTGAAGAGACTGTCTTTTTTCCATTGCATGTTTTTTCTTGCTTTGTCAAAGATTATTTGACCATAGAGTTGAAGATCCATATCTAGGCTCTCTATTCTGTTCCGTTGGTCTGTATGTCTGTTTTTGTGCCAGTACCATGCTGTCTTGGTGATCACAGCTTTGTAATATAGCTTGAAATTGGGCAACGTGATGCCCCCAGCTTTGTTTTTCTTTTTCAACATTTCCTTGGCGATTTGGGGTCTTTTCTGATTCCACACAAATTTTAGGATTGTTTGTTCCAGCACTTTGAAAAATGTCATTGGAATTTTGATTGGGATGGCATTGAAAGTATAGATTGCTCTGGGTAGCATAGACATTTTAACAATGTTTATTCTTTTGATCCATGAGCATGGAATGTTTTTCCATCTTTTTGTGTCTTCTTCAATTTCTTTCATGAGTGTTCTGTAGTTCCTAGAGTATAGATCCTTTACCTCTTTGGTTAGGTTTATTCTGAGGTATCTTACGGTTTTTGGTGCTATTGTAAATGGAATCATTTCTCTAATTTCTCTTTCTACAGTTGCATTGTTAGTGTATAAGAAAGCAACTGATTTCTGTGCATTGATTTTGTATCCTGCCACATTACTGAATTGCTGGATGAGTTCTAGTAATTTGGGGGTGGAGTCTTGGATTTTCCACATAAAGTATCATGTCATCTGCGAAGAGAGAGAGTTTGACTTCTTCTTTGCCAATTTGAATACTTTTCTTTTTGTTGTCTGATTGATGTTGCAGGACTTTCAGTACTATGTTGAACTATAGTGGCTAGAGTGGGCATCCTTTTCGTGTTCCTGATCTAGAGGGAAAGGCTCTCAGCTTTTCCCCACTGAAGATGATATTCGCTGTGGGTTTTTCATAGATGGATTTTATGAACTTGAAGAATGTTCCCTCTATCCCTATACTCTTTAAGAGTTTTAATCAGGAAAAGATGCTGTATTTTGTCAAATGCTTTTTCTGCATCAATTGAGAGGACCATATGATTCTTCTCTCTCCTCTTACTGTGTTCTATCACATTGATTGATTTGGGAATGCTGAACCACCCAATCTCTTATTTCTTATAGCCTCAAGTTTGAAATAACTCTAAAACTAACCTCAAAATTTATTTTGCAGATAGCAGAATTACAGCTGCAGAGGCTGCAGATTAATTCACAACCTCAGTGGATTCCTAGTTTTGACAATGTGAGCAGTAGGGAGATTCCACGGTGTCCAAACTAATTCTGGGAACAAAGAGAACTCTTAAACATACTTTTAATTTGTATTTTCAAAAAGATGAAACCAGAACAGTTGGGGAAAAAGGGAATCTTCAGAGAATAAAGAAGAGCTTTAAGAAATTAAAGTTATGGCAGCCAACATAAAAAATCAATAGAAGGATAAGATATAAAGTGGTGACACTCTGCAAGCAGACCAAAAACATAAAGCTTAAGGAATTTTGGAAAGAAAGAAACAAACAAAAAACCAAACAGAAAGGAGGCTATTATTCAAGGAAAGAATATAAAACAATTTCCTAGAGCTGAAACACATTCATTTCTATATTAAACAAGCCTACTGAGTAGATCATAGTGAAATTTTGGAACATGTAGAATATAAAGAAATTATTTGTGAATGATGTGAAATAGAGACCTAATAACTTAATCCTTTAGCCAATTGTCCCAACAGTTTCCCTTCCCCATTGACTTGAAATACTAACACATACTGAATGTCCATATATGCCTCAATCTGCTTCTGAGCTGTTTCGTCTTGGATCTATTTGTCTATGTTTATGAAAATAACACACACGTACCCTTAATTTCTAGCCATAACACATTATTCAGTATTCCCAGAATGTGTATATCCCCTATGCTGCTGTGTTCTTGCTTACACGATACCTGATACTTGTAACATTTTCCTATAACCATTTCAATGGCTTGATATTCATCCTTCAAGACTCACTTTCAATCATACCAAATTTCTTGATTTTGCCTCCATATCTCCTTATGTTTTTTTTTTCCCCAAATTCTGCTAACATAGCACATACTACACCGTGTTGTTAGTTTTACTGGAATGCATCAACCTCATCTCTTTCTCCATATCTCCCCTCCAATTCTCCACTTGGAACACCCCTGCAGGAAGGCACTTTGTAATCCTAGCACTTAGCATGTAGCAATCAACCGATCCTCTATCAGTATTTATTGAAAGAAATAATACACACATGTGCTTGATATATAAAGACTATCAGGGAACTGGGTACAGTGGTTATTTCTGGGAAAATTTGGAGATGGATTGAGACCCCTCCCATTTCAACTCCTATGTGTATGTATTATGTATATTATATACCAAACACATTAGTTTTTGTTTTTAAAAAATATTTATTTATTGGGGCGCCTGGGTGGCTCAGTCCTTAAGCGTCTGCCTTTGGCTCAGGTCATGATCCCAGGGTCCTGGGATCCAGCCCCTTATCGGGCTCCCTGCTCAGAGGGAAGCCTGCTTCTCTCTCTCCCACTCCCCCTGCTTGTGTTCCCTCTCTAGCTGTGTCTCTCTCTATCTAATAAATAAATAAAATATTTAAAAAGATTTATTTGAGAGCGAGCACCCCAGCGCGAGTTGGGGGAGGGACAGAGGGAGAGAATCTTTCAAGCCAACTGCACGCTGCTGGCGGAGCCCCACGGGGAGTGGGGGTGGGGAGGCTGGATCCCACGACCCACGAGCTCATGACCTGAGCCAAAATCAAGAGCCAAGGCCTAACCCACTGAGCCACCCAGTTGCCCCCAGATTAGATCTTAAAAAGAAGAGTCAGATTTTCTATTGTCTTGAACATTTTTTCACATCTTATTTTTAGTGAGAAAGTAAGTTGTGGAAGACATAAAATATATAATCCTATTTTTAGAAGAAATTAGAAAGACTGAAAAATAAATTTTACCCATGGGTATGTTTTTGTAGGAGTATGGATTGAACCAAAGGATCAAAGCGTAGGTGGGCGAAGGTAAGTTAAACACTGAGCATCCCAACTTGCCAGCGAGATCCCACCGCTATCCTCGCCCACCAAGCCCGGGCCCCGCCCATCAACCTAGACGCCCCCCTCCCCCCTAGCCTCGTCCTTCAGGCACAGGCCCCATCTCTACCCGCCCCATTCAAGGTCCAGTCCGACCCCATTCCAGAGCCTAACTTCACCCCGCGGGGAAGGAAACTAGGATTTACTCTCCGAGGCCGGATGAAGAAGGGGTCAACATTTCTGGCACCGCCTGAAGCTCCTCTAGTCCCGAGAACTGGAGCCCCGGCCACTTCCGCTCCCGGCGACCTCCAGGCCGGAAGCGGAAGTGCGCGGCGGCCACGGGCGGCGGCGGGTGTCCTGGGCCGCGCGGCGCGCTGCGGTGGGAGTGTCTCCGGCCGATCTGCAGGTGCGGCCCGGCCCCTCGGGAAGGCGGGAGGGCCCTGCGGGCGCGAGGAGGGGCCGGAGGGCCCCGGACCGCCGCCCATGCGGCGGCGCCTCCTCCTCGCGGTGGCACCCCGCGCCGGGGTGGGGCCCGCACCACTCGGCCTCGCGGCCGTCATCCCGACCCCCGGCCCGGCCCCCTGCCCTCAGGTACCGCCTGTCCGGGCAGACAGGACGGTCGCCCATCCATCAGAAGGGAAATCACGTAGTACGGTCCAGGTCCCGGAGCTCAGGAATGTGGTGCCCCCAGCCGGCCCAGCCCTCACCCGTCCTCCCGGATTTGTAGGGCACTCCCGTACCTCCCTTATGCATGGAGCTGTTTATTAGTAATTCACGTTTTATTTCATAGGACGTTTCATGTTACCTACTCTGCAACTGGAGAGTTAGGTGCTGAGGCTGCATGTGCCGATTGGTTTGAGTGACTGTCAAGTGAATTTAAAAAATGGAATGTCCCCTCTATCAAGGGATGGCAAGAGTTTGTTGTTGCTGTTGTTTTTTAGTTTTTTTGGTGACTATGTGTAGTTCTTTAGCTTAGGGGCTGTTAATTTAGCGTTCATTTCATTTTTCCCTCTCCCTTTCCTTTCCTTTCTCTTTATTCCTTTCTTTCATTTAAAAGAGCTTTTAATTTGTGAGCATCAGTGGTTTTCACTGCAAGATGAGGGTGTCTTAAGAAAAGCTATTTCCCGGTCATGTCAGAAGTCTTACCATCAACGAAAAGGAAGATTATTCAGTTCTTTTCCCGGCAGTTCCCAGTCTGGTTACCTCAAGCCTGTGAATGAATCACCACGAGGCTTAAAAATATATGGGACTCCAGGAAAAAAGATGACATAGCTTTGTTAGTACTGGGAATTGAAATTGAGTTGGTCATAAATGGAGTGTCTTTTTTTTTTTTTTTTTAATAATAGGGTTAAAACTAACTTTTGAGAAATGGGGAAAAAAATTAATTCTGGAAGAAAAGTAGACTTCAGATTTCAAGTGAGGTTGTTTGTTGTCGAAAAGAGCCCAGGTTCTGCCTTGCCATCTTAGAAAGACTTAACATTGTTTCTTAAAGACATCTGAAAGCTAGTGTTGATTTATGTTATATGAACAGGCATTTTAAGTCATTTTTATATTTGATTTTGTGGTGTTACATTGTTGTTCTGTGTGTCTGTGCAGGTGCATGCCTCAGGCTGGCTATGCTGAGTTATTTTGGGGGAGTGTTGATTGTTTGGCACATTTCCATTGGGATTGCCCTCTATGAACTGGGCCTTGTACAGGGGGAAACAGTGTGATTGAAATAAATATAATACTTGCCTCTGTGGAGGTTTTATCCTCCCTTAAATTAATCATGACCAGGGTGATAAGGAAACATGGAGCAGGAGAACTTGGGGAGGAGGTCAGGAAAAACCCCTTACAAGGGATAAATGTTTGAATCCCCCAAATGAGCTGCATGTAGCTAGACAAGGATTTAGGAATAGGAGTAGGGAGGAGATTTGAGAGAACATTCTAGATGCACAGCCTCTCAGGCAGGACTAGGCCTGGTGTGTTTCAGGAGTTGAGAGAAGAGGGACAGCTAAAGTAGAGAAAACAAAGTGTGGAATGTATGAGCCAGGTTGGAGAGGTGGGCAGGGCCCTAAAGGCCAGGGTAAATTTTGGACCTTGTTCTAAGGCCATTGGGAAGCCTTCAGTTTTTTAAAAATTTTCTTTATTTTTTAAAGTAGGCACCACGCCCAGGGTGAAGCCCATTGCGGGGCTTGAACACACAACCCTGATATCAAGACCTGAGCTGAGGTCAAGAGTGGGATGCTTAACTGACTGAGCCATGCAGGCGCCCCACCACTGAATCAGTTTTAAGTAGGAGAGTGACAGAGTGTTTGTGATTTAGACAAAACACCTACGCCTGGATTGAGCATGTGGACAAGAATGAATGGAGAGTCCATATATGTTGGTACTGGGAATTGAAACTGAGTTGGCCATAAATAGGGTGTCTGGAAAGTCCATATATGAGCTAGAATCAACTCATGACTCATGCTGGTAGCTGGGGCCTGATGATGGTTGGGGAACTGGCAAAGTTGGCATGTTTGAGAGCATGTAGGATGTGCAGTTGAGAGAATTTGGTTGATGTATTCTCTCTATCACATTACAGAGCAGGGGTTGGCAAACTATGCCAAATCTGACCCAATGCTGGTTTCCATAAAAAAGGTTTTTTTAATGGAAAAACAAATGTGTTTTTTTTGTTTACCTGTTGTCTGTGGCTGTTTTTGTGCTACAACCACAGTTAGATTGTTGGTTTAGAGGCCATTTGGCCCACAAATCCTAAGATATTAACTCTGGCCTTTTGAAGAAAAAGTTTGCCAACCCCTAATATATAAAGTACTCAGTTCGCATCAAGCACTGTGCTAGTGGCAGGATTTGGAGTCCTGAAAAAGGTGAACACAGGTCTGTACTTCGGGAATGTACATTATAGTTGGAGAGGGAGAGGCAAAATCACCTAAGCAAATAAATTAAAAATCACAACTTGATAAGAGGCAGTGGAGGAAAAGTAGAGGCTGTTAGAGGTATTTTGAGAGAATATAAGAGGAGAAATAATCCTTTTATTAGATGAGAGGAACCACTACGGGGGCTGAGGTCTGGAAGGTGGCTCTGGGCGCAATATGTTGCTTATTGGGAAAGATGCAGTGTGAGGGTTTTCACTGGGCTGCCCTGCTGAAGGCCCATGGAAGTGGTATTACCTGGGCCAAACCCCTGTGTGGGGCTCTGCTTCACCCTCACCCCCCCTTTGTTTTTTTATTACCTTGGTCTCTTTTATTGCAGGGAGGATGCCTGATGAGACCTCAAATCCTGGTGCTGGTGTCATGGTGAGGGGACTGGAGGAGTCGGAATCATTGCGGGAGGGGAGCATGATTATGTACTCTGGGTCTGTCCCCTCTCTCCCCACCCCCAACTGAGGAAGAAAGGAGAGGGGAAGTGTGGAGCACCCTCTGCCTTGCCCCAGGGGACCTGATAGTCTCTTTCAGTGCCTGAGCTCTGGTGGGAACTGGCTTGGGAGGAGGGTCCCCACAGTGACCCCGGGGCTCTGTGCCTAATTCTGGAGTCTGACTGCAGAATGGGGCTCATTTAGACTTGGCAGCAGCAGAGCTCCACACCTGGGCCATCCCTTGGGAGGCCTACCAAAAACACACGTGTCTGTATAACTTGAAATTAATTAAAATTCAGTAAAATTAAAAACCCAGTTTCTTAGTTGCCTGAGCCACTCAAGTGCTCAATAGCTACACATGCTGGTGGCTGCCTTTTTGGAAAGCACAGACCTAGAACATTCCCATCCTCACAGAAGCTCTGTCAGAGCATGCTGCACTACAGGGTTCTGAGATGAAAAGACCATTAAGTTTCTCAGATGCAGTGGTAGTCCTATTCTCACAGACATAAAAGATTACATAGTGCTTAACTCTCGGGAAGGGGGTCTAGGGATTTCATGAAAATTAAGTGATCAATCCCAAACTTCTGATGCCTTAAATAAAGATTTTAGGAAAAACTCTCTAGAGTCCAGAAATAGGCTCGGGCAGTCACTGGTGGTGTGAAGTGACAAAGAGAGCCAAAGCTTACACTCTCGGATTTGTCCAACCGTTAAAAGAAAGGAAATCTTGTCTGCTCAGTTGGCCATGTGATCCCTGTCGCGGTCACAGCTGTTACAGCACAACACCCGCTGTAGAGATGGACAAACAAATGGGCAAGGCTGTGTGCCAGTAAAACTTTATTTATAAAAACAGGAGGCAGGCCAGGTTTGCTGAGCCCTGCTGTGGCGGGAGTGTTCTGAACGTGCTCCTTTCCCCAGTGATAACCAGTTGTCCTACAGGTGGTCCTTGCTGAGCCAGAATATATGTGTGTTGTTTTAGGAGTCAGTTACCTTCGAGGATGTGGTGGTGGGGCTCATCCAGGGGTGGGCGTTGCTGGACGGTGCACGGAAGAACCTGTGCCGATACGTGATCCTGGACAAGTGTAGGACCCTGGCCCCCAGGGGTAAGGCTAGCATCAGGCTGGTCCTTCTCCCACACAGGTGTTTAATGCCACTTAAGGGCCAGCTACAAGGCCAAAGAAGATGTGTGGGCTTCCACAGGAAAACAGAGCTCCATCCGTTGTATTATATTCATTCTTTCTATAGTCAGAACCTGCATGAGTCTCATTGAACTTGGCCTTGGGTTTCAGGGCTTCATCCCTGTGGGGCAGAGAGGAGGGTATTTGTGGTGTGGGCCCTTGTAAAAGAGCTTCACTAGTTCATTGGAAATGGGGCATGATCACTTTGCTACCCATGGTACTCGCTCAGCGCCAGGAGCTAAAGCCCACGCGGAAGCGGGAAGCCCACTGCAAACCCTCCCTGCTTCCCTCAGCATGTGTGTCTTTGTCCAGGAGTGGGGATTCCACCATGCAAACCCAGTCTGGGCTCCCCGGTGGGGCCAGAGGAAGAGCTGAGGGCTCCATGGGTGTGGGTGAGTGTTTGGGGGGTGCGCACCAGGTGGGGGGGCGGTGTGCTGGGAAGTATCAGTCTGAGAGCATTTCAGAGGCCTTTTTTTTTTTTTTAATTTTATTATGTTATGTTAGTCACCATGCAATACATCATTAGTTTTTGATGTAGTGATCCACGATCCATTGTTTTCGTATAAGACCCAGTGCTCCATGCAGTACGTGCCCTCCTTAATACCCATCACCGGGCTAACCAATCCCCCCTCCCCCCTCCCCTCTAAAACTCTGTTTGTTTCTCAGGTCCATAGTCTCTCATGGTTCATCTCTCCCTCCAATTCCCCCCGCCCATTTTTCCCTTCCTTCTCTTAATGTCCTCCATGTTATTCCTTATGTTCCACAAATAAGTGAAACCCTATGATAATTGACTTTCTCTGCTTGACTTATTTCACTTAGCATAATCTCCTCCAGTCCATCCATGTTGATGTAAAAGTTGGGTATTCATCTTTTCTGATACCTGAGTAATATTCCATTGTATATATGGACCCCATCTTCTTTATCCATTCATCTGTTGAAGGGCATCTCGGCTCTTTCCACAGTTTGGCTATTGCGGACATTGCTGCTATGAACATTGGGGTGCATATGGCCCTTCTTTTCATTGCATCTGTGTCTTTGGGGTAAATACCCAGCAGTGCAATTGCTGGGTCATAGGGTAGCTCTATATTTAATTTTTTGAGGCACCTCCACACTGTTTTCCAAAGTGGCTGTACCAACTTGCATTCCTACCAACAGTGTAAGAGGGTTCCCCTTTCTCCACAACCTCTCCAACATTTGTTGTTTCTTTCCCTGTCCATTTTTGCCATTCTAACTGGTGTAAGGTGGTATCTCAGTGTGGTTTTGATTTGGATTTCCCTGATGGCTAATGATGATGAACATTTTTTCATGTGTCTGTTAGCCATTTGTATGTCTTCTTTGGAGAAGTGTCTGTTCATCTCTTCTGCCCACTTTTTGACTTGATTATTTGTTTTTTGGGTGTTGAGATTGAGAAGTTCTTTTTCTTTTTTTTAAAGATTTTTTATTTATTTATTTGAGAGAGAGACTGAGAGAGAGAGAGCATGAGAGGGGGGAGGGTCGGGAGGGTCAGAGGGAGAAGCAGACTCCCTGCTGAGCAGGGAGCCTGATGTGGGACTCGATCCAGGGACTCCAGGATCATGACCTGAGCCGAAGGCAGTCGCTTAATCAACTGAGCCACCGAGGCACCCAAGTTTGAGAAGTTCTTTATAGATTTTGGATACCAGCCCTTTATCTGTAGTGTCATTTGCAAATATCATCTCCCATTCTGTGGGTTGCCTCTTTGTTTTGTTGACTGTTTCCTTTGCTGTGCAGAAACTTTTTCTCTTGATGAAGTCCCAAAAGTTCATTTTTGCTTTTGTTTCACTAGCCTTTGGAGATGTATCTTGAAAGAAGTTGCTGTGGCCGATGTCAAAGAGGTTACTGCCTATGTTCTCCTCTAGGATTTTGATGGATTCCTGTCTCACATTGAGGTCTTTCATCCACTTTGAGTTTATCTTTGTGAATGGTGTTAGAGAATGGTTGAGTTTCATTCTTCTGCATGTGGCTGTCCAATTTTCCAGGCACCATTTATTGAAGAGACTGTCTTTTTTCCATTGCATGTTTTTTCCTGCTTTGTCAAAGATTATTTGACCATAGAGTTGAGGGTCCATATCTGGGTTCTCTATTCTGTTCCATTGGTCTGTATGTCTGTTTTTGTGCCAGGACCATGCTGTCTTGGTGATCACTGATTTGTCATATAGCTTGAGATCGGGCAACGTGATGCCCCAGCTTTGTTTTTCTTTTTCAACATCTCCTTGGCGATTCGGGGTCTTTTCTGATTCCATACAAATTTTAGGATTGTTTGTTCCAGCACTTTGAAAAATGTCATTGGAATTTTGATCGGGATAGCATTGAAGGTATAGATTGCTCTGGGTAGCATAGACATTTTCACAATGTTTATTCTTCCGATCCATGAGCATGGAATATTTTTCCATCTTTTTGTGTCTTCTTCAATTTCTTTCATGAGTGTTTTGTAGTTCCTAGAGTATAGATCCTTTACCTCTTTGGTTAGGTTTATTCCGAGGTATCTTATGGTTTTTGGTGCTATTGTAAATGGAGTCGTTTCTCTAATTTCTCTTTCAACAGTTGCGTTGTTAGTGTATAAGAAAGCAACTGATTTCTGTGCATTGATTTTGTATCCTGCCACATTACTGAATTGCTGGATGAATTCTAGTAATTTGGGGGTGGAGTCTTTTGGGTTTTCCACATAAAGTATCATGTCGTCTGCGAAAAGAGAGAGTTTGACTTCTTCTTTGCCAATTTGAATATCTTTTATTTCTTTTTGTTGTCTGATTGCTGTTGCTAGGACTTCTAGTACTATGTTGAACAACAGTGGTGAGAGTGGGCACCCTTGACGTGTTCCTGATCTTAAGGGAAAGGCTCTCAGCTTTTCCCCATTGAGGATGATGTTCGCTGTGGGTTTTTCATAGATGGATTTTATGAGCTTGAGGAATGTTCCCTCTATCCCTATACTCTGGAGAGTTTGACTCAAGAAAGGATGTTGTATTTTGTCAAATGCTCTTTCTGCATCAATTGAGAGGACCATATGGTTCTTCTCCCTCCGCTTATTAATGTGTTCTAGCACATGGATTGATTTGCAAATGTTGAACCACCCTTGCATCCCGGGGATAAATCGCACTTGGTTGTGTGGATGATCCTGTTTTTTTTTTTTTTTTAAAGATTTATTTATTTATTTGAGAGAGCGAGAATGAGAGAGAGAGAGTACATGAGGGGGGGAGGGTTAGAGGGAGAAGCAGGCTCCTTGCTGAGCAGGGAGCCCGATGCGGGACTTGGTCCAGGGACTCCAGGATCATGACCTGAGCCGAAGGCAGTCGCTTAACCAACTGAGCCACCCAGGCGCCCCAGTGGATGATCCTTTTAATGTATTGTTGGATCCTATTAGCTAGGATTTTGTTGAGGATTTTGGAATCCATATTCATCAGGGATATCGGTCTGAAATTCTCCTTTTTGATGGGGTCTTTGCCTGGTTTGGGGATTAAGATAATGCTGGCCTCATAGAATGAGTTTGGAAGTTTTCCGTCTGTTTCTATTTTTTGAAAGAGCTTCAGTAGAATAGGTATTATTTCTTCTTTGAATGTTTGGTAGAATTCCCCAGGGAATCCAGCAGGCCCTGGACTCTTGTTTTTTGGGAGGTTTTTGATCACTGCTTCAATCTCGTTACTGGTTATTGGCCTATCCCGGTTGTCAGTTTCTTCCTGTTTCAGTCTTGGCAGCTTATAGGTTTCCAGAAAGGCCTCCATTTCATCCAGATTGCTCAGTTTATTGGCATATAGTTGTTGATAATAATTTCTAATAATTGTTTCTATTTCCTTGGTGTTGGTCATGATCTCTCCCCTTTCATTCATAATTTTATTAATTTGGGTCCTTTCTCTCTTCTTTTGGATAAGTCTGGCCACTGGTTTATCAATCTTATTAATTCTTTCAAAGCACCAACTTCTAGTTTCATTGGTCTGATCTACTGTGTTTCTGGTTTCTAATTCATTGATTTCTGCTCTAATTTTAATTATTTCTCTTCTAATGCGTGGCTTAGGCGTCGTTTGTTGCTTTTTCTCTAGTTCTTTAATGTGTAGAGTTAGTTGGTGAATTCGGGATTTTTCTATTTTTTTGAGTGAGGCTTGGATGGCTATGTATTTCCCCCTTAGGACCGCCTTTGCAGTATCCCATAGGTTTTGGACCGATGTGTTTTCGTTCTCATTGATTTCCATGAATTGCTTAAGTTCTTCTTTGATTTCTGGTTGACCCAAACATTCTTGAGCAGAGTGGTCTTTAGCTTTCAAGTGTTTGAATTTCTGCCAAATTTTTTCTTGTGATTGAGTTCCAGTTTTAGAACATTGTGGTCTGAGAATATGCAGGGAATAATCTCAATCTTTTGGTATCGGTTGAGACCTGATTTGTGACCCAGTATATGGTCTATTCTGGAGGAAGTTCCATGTGTGCTTGAGAAGTATGAGTATTCTGTTGTTTTAGGGTGGAATGTTCTGTAAATATCTATGAGGTCCATCTGGTCCAATGTATCATTCAAAGCTCTTGTTTCCTTGTTGATTTTCTGCTTAGATGATCTGTCCATTGCTGAGAGTGGAGTATGAGGTCTCCTACAATTAACGTATTGTTATCAATATGACTCTTTATTTTGGTTACCAGTTGGCTTATGTAGATGGCTGCTCCCATGTTGGGGGCATAGATGTTTACAATTGTTAGATATTCTTGTTGGATAGACCCTTTAAGAATGATATAGTGTCCTTCTGTGTCTCTTATTACAGACTTTAGTTTAAAATCTAATTTGTCTGATATAAGAATTGCTACCCCAGCTTTCTTTTGAGGTCTGCTGGCATGGAAGATAGACCTCCATCCCTTCACTTTCAGTCTGGATGTATCTTTAGGTTCAAAATGAGTCTCTTGTAGACAGCATGTGGATGGGTCCTGTCTTTTTATCCAATCTGCAACCCTGTGCCGTTTTATGGGAGCATTTAGGCCATTCTCGTTGAGAGTGATTATTGAAAGATATGAATTAATTGTTGTCATGTTGCCTGTGAAGACGTTGTTTTTATAGATTGTCCCTGTAAATTTCTGTTGTAGATCACTCTTGGGGTCTTTCTCCTTTTATAGAACGCCCCCTTAATATTTCTTGCAGGGCCGGCTTAGTGGTCACATATTCTTTCAACTTCTGCTGGTCGTGGAAGCTCTGCATCTCTCCATCCATTCTGAATGAAAGCCTTGCTGGATAAAGTGTTCTTGGCTGCATGTTCTTCTCATTTAGTACCCTGAATATGTCTTGCCAGGCCTTTCTGGCTTGCCAGGTCTCTGTGGATAGGTCTGACATTATTCTGATGTTCCTCCCTCTGTACGTAAGGAATCTCTTCCCCCTAACTGCCCTTAAGATGGTTTCCTTGGTTCTAAGATTTGCATTTACTATTACATGCCGGGGTGTTGGCCTGTTTTCCTTGATCTTAGGAGGGGTCCTCTCTGCCTCTAGGAGTCGAATGTTTGTTTCATTCCCCAGATTAGGGAAGTTCTCAGCTCTGATTTGCTCAAATACATCTTCTAGTCCTCTCTCTCTCCACTCCCTCTGGGATTCCAATGATTCTGACATTGGAACGCTTCATGGTGTCACTTATTTCTGATTCTATTTTCATGGATTCTGAGTTGTTTTTCCCTGGCCTACTCTTTGCCCTTTTAATCTATTATATTATCTTCCAGGTCGCTTATTTGCTCTTCTGCTTCAGTTACCCTAGCTGTTAGATTATCTAGATTGGATTGGATCTCATTGATAGCATTTTTAAGTTCTGCCAATTCACCTTTCATTTCTGCCCTTAGAGACTCTATGTTGCCATTAGTTGATTTCTCCATTCTAGCCATTGTCTTCACAATTGCTAGCCTGAATTCCATCTCCGACATCTTGGTTATATCTGCATCCATTTGTAAATCTGCAGCATAAGTCATAATCTCTGAGTCTTTTCTGTTTAGGGGCTCCTCCTCCTAGTCCTTCTGTTGATGGGTGTTTGAGGGAATGTATAGAGTCAAAATTATTGACCAGAACCCAAGCAAGATGCACCTGTTTTCTTGGGACCTTAGGGTTGGTGGCCTCTTGTTTTCCCAGCCTGTCTTCTGTGGGAGGGGCCTGCTGTGCTGTTACTCAGGCTACCCTGTTTGGGCGGAGTTGCCCTGCGCCCCTGTGGCGGGGGATGGGCTCAGTGGGACTCAGTCTTTGGGGCTTTTGTTCTCTGGCGCCTTTTCCTTGTGGCTTTCTGCGTCTCTTCCGTGAGTCAGAGCAGAAGAGACCGTTTCCAACCCTCTGCCTCAGAGCAGAGAGACCTCAGTCTGTTCTTCAGTGAGCTCTCCAGGCCACACCGTCTCCGTTTCTGTCCGTGCTGCTATAAACTGCAGCGGCCTGGGTTGTGCACCCCTCCGCAGTGCCCCCAGTCCTGCCTCCAGGTCGGGGCACGTCTCTGCCCTTTGTGCTTCTAAAACCGCCACCCACTCCTAGGTTGTGCCCGCGTGCCTCCGCCGCTTGGGGTCCTGTCCCGGGGACTGCAGTTCATGCGTGCGCGCGACTCCACTGCTTGGGGTTTCCACCCCGGAGGTTGCAGTTCACCGGCGCAACCCCGGCTCACCGGGTTTCTGTCTCGGAGGCTGCAGTTTGTGTGCGCGCGACCCTCGCTCCGGTTTCTGTCCAGGGGGCTGCAGTTCGTGTGCGTGTGACCCCGCCGGTCTGGTCCTCCACCCCGGGGGCTGTCCTAAAGTCCTTTCCCGACGCTACCGGTCTGTGAGTCTGTGCCCCGTCCGCAACGCGCAAGGCTGTCACTCACTGGCGGTGTAGGATCCCCATGGCCCGGCACCCTCCCGCCGCCGGTTATCCTCTGATATCTGCCCGCAGAATCACGGCTCTCCGCTTCATACCTCAAAACCAACTGCCTGCGATATTCTGTTTGTAGAGATCCAAATCTTCTGATTGTGTGCTGGTTTCGTGGGTGCTCAGAGTGGTCTGGTAGATATCCAGCTCAATTCTGGGGACCAGTTGAAATAGGGTACCCTACTCCTCCGCCATCTTTCACCCCTCCCAGAGGCCTTTTATCGCAAGGGGAAATGAGACTCTTTGGGGTGAGGTTTCTCAAGTGAGTTCCTGTAGTGTTTTTTCTCTTCTGCTAGCCTTCTCCTACTTCTCATTGATCTCAGAAAATGATCTGTTCAAATCTCTCTCTCTCTCTTTTTTAATTGAGATATTCACATACCAAAGAATCCACCCTTTTAAAGTGTACAATTCACTGGTTTTCAGTATATTCACAAAGTTGTGCCACCTTCACCAGTCTCGCTCCCCTCCCCCCCATCTGCTTTCTGTCTCTATGGATTTGCCTGTTCTGGATACTTCATATAAAGAGAATCACACAACATGTGGCCTTGGGTGTCTATCTTCTTTTGTTAGTGTGGTGTTGTCGAGGTTCATCCACATTGTAGCGAGTGTCAGAGCCTTGTTCCTTTTTAGGGCTGAATACTGTTCCAGTGTATGGGTGGACCATGTTTTGTTTGTCCATTTGTCTATGGACAGACGTTTGGTTTGTTTCTACTTTTTGGCTCTTGTGAATAGTGGGTATGTTTTCATTGCTCTTGGGTTGACACTTAGAAGTAGAGTTGCTGGGTCTTTTACTGAACTTTTGGGGGAAGTTTACTGAACTTTTTGGGGAACCACCAAAGTGCCTTCTCAGATAGGTGCACGCACCATTTTACATTCCCACCAACAGTGGTTGAGGGTTCCAGTTGCTCCACATCATAACCACACTTATTGTCCAATTCTTCATGAAAGTGAACATTTCTGTGTGTGTTCTTTGTCTAATTGCTTCTTACTTATTTCTCTGATAAGGCTGTCTTTCTGGCGACATCTGTCTCAATCCCCAGAAGACATAGTTTCTCATCCCTGCCCACCCCCGCTCCTGTCACTGCCAGATTCCACACACAGCTGTATTCTTCAGAGTCTCCCTTTGCTCACTGATGCCTTCTTCCCTTTTAGTACCGTCCCAAGTTTAGGCTCAATATTTAAAAAACAATATTTTAAAACAATAAATACTTAAATATTTATTTTGGTCAATTTCATAGCACTATTTCTGAAAGAACTTAATTTTTTTTTCTGATTCATTTTAGACTGGGAATCTCAAATCCAAAGTGTCGACCCCTGTGCAGGATATTTTGGAGGAAAATTCATCCCATGATATGCAAATGGTAAGATTCATGGGGGATTATCCTTATTCCCTCTTGGGAGAAGTTGAGGAATTTGTGAGTTGGAAATGCACACCAGAGCCAGGGAGACATTTGGGGCATTTCCTCAAGGACATTCCCACATGGTCTGAAGGGAGTGGCCATGACTCCTGAATTTGGGTAAACCCTTTCTGTCACTCAGGACCCTTCTTCGAATGTTCTCCCAAGTAAACATTGCCATCAGTGTGAGTCAGACATTGATTGTGTGCAGTATGATTTACTCCTCAACAGTCATGGGAAACTCCTGCCTTTTGGAGAAGCCCCATGGAAATCACGAATGGGAGAAAGCCCTCAACGTCCTTGAGCCCTCAACCTGCTTAAGCGAGGTGCACCTCTGAACGTGCTAGAAACGTGCCTCGACAGGGAGGGGAGCAGCCCTGGGCGCTCTGCCGGTGTTGGCGGGGTTTTTGTTGTCACTCACCCCTGGCCAGGAGCAAACTCTGCCTGGAGAGTTGATTCAGCCGCATCCAGAATGGCTTCAGGAGGTACTCTAACCTAGACCTGACAAGAGAACCGTGGGAGAGAGGGTCACCCTGACTGCAAGGGATGTGGGAGAGCTGTTGCGGACCCCTCTCCACGTAGGAGACAAATCGAGATCTCACAGCAGAAATAAGCCCCTGTCAAAGTGTGCAAGAGCCTTTAGAGCTGGCTGGTGCATTCCAGTGTACCAGGGAACAGACTGAGCCCCGCTGCTCCCACCTTGGCCCTGAGTTCCTGTCTCCCCACACTGGAGGAATTTCCCAGGTTTGGGTTCCCGTTCTTGGGGATTTCAAAGGTGAGGGTTAGGGTGTGGATAGAGGGACACGTAGAGCCCAGTTTCACCCCCAGGCTGGGCCTGTTTGTCCCAGAGCCAGTGAGATCTCTGGGCTCCCTCAGTCTGTGCCCCTCCACCTCTGTCATGGATGGTGTCAGACTCATGGTGAAGAGACGCCAGCCCAGTGGATGGGGTGGCAGGGCCTGGATGGTAGAGACCCGTTTCATTGCTTTGCTCTGAGCATGCGGAGCCTCAACCCTGCATAGCCTGGTGTGGGCTGCCGGGCAGCTGAAAGCCTCACCCCTGCATGGCTTGCATCAGACCCCAGGGCAGCTAAGACACTCCTCACTGCTCAGGTCCTCCTCACCGTTGGTTCACATTTTTGTTTAGGTGGAGAATGTCCTCCAATAGCTGCTTGGGAAAGGGCGTGTTGCTTTGGAGACCCTGAGGTCTGAAAATACCTCACTGGAGCTGCTGGATTGCAGGGGCCTCATCTGACAGGATCGTTGCAGTAACCCCATGCAGAGCACTCTGTGCATCATCACAGAGCCCTCAATTAATGCTTGTTCAGTGAAGGCACGAACACAGGTACTCCAGGCCATCACCGCCCCCCTGTCTTGATTAGCAGATGGACCCTGTGAGGGAGGGAGGGGGAGGACCCACAAGGGACAGCTGTCCTCTTGAGTTTCTGTGGGCTCTTTCCTCTTAGTATGGATTCTAGCACCTTCCACAGAGTTTCACTCCCAGCTCAGCAGTGAGCACTGGGTGTGGGAGAGGAGGGGCTTCTGTTGCATCTGAGCCTCAGGAAACAAGGAAACGAGTGGTCACAGAATGTTCTGAGCGGGCAGAGGAGGTCTACCCGGACACACATGTGGAGAAGCTGAGTGGGTCATCCATGAAGACACACAGCCCATAAGTGGTACAGTCACATTTGGAGCTGGGAGTCAAATCCAGGATGCAGATCTCTAATTGCAGAGATTGCTGTTCTAGCTGCCAGGATCTACCGGCTGGGAATTGTACAACCCGCCACGTGGTTAAAGGTGCTGATGGTTCAGCTAGCCCTTCCGGGCATCAGTGGGCCTCATCCTCATCCTCATCCTCAGCTCTGAGGCCTCCCTGTCATGTGAGGATAAGGCCTTGTGGCCTCCCCCTCATGGCCAGCTAGGCCAGGGGAGGACAGGAACATAGAGGGCTGGAGACTGCTCCCAGAAGAGCCCCAAAACAGGCTGAGCAAGTGGTCTCCAGGCTCAGCCCTTCTACTGTCCTAGCCCCCTCGCCCCCATGCCGTGTCCCCTCCACGCTGTTTCAGGGCAGGGGGATATTGGCTTGCGTGAGCGTTGGATAAGGACAGGGTTCAGAGGATGGGCTGTGGATGGCAGGGCAGATGTAAATAGCTCTGGCCAATAGTTTGGTCCTGCGACTGATGGCTGCCAAATAGACAAACACAGACTAAGGAAACAGAACAACATTCATATTCAGAGCCGAGGGCTCCTAGCCTTTCTTCAGTGAAGCGTATTGCAGTGCCTCTGAGAGCCTGTGGCCTAACCCCCTAACCTAACCCCCAGAACCAGAAAGGGTCAGGTTCACCTCTGCGTCTGCGGCATGATCAGTCCTTGAGACCCTCAGTGGCTGGGGCCCACACTTGAGACCCTCAGTGGCTGGGGCCCACAGTGGAGTAGGGGGAGTTACCAGGTCTGAAGCTGCCAGACCTGCATACCTGCCTTGTGACGGCACTACCCCAAATCTGAGGGTCTTTCAGGCCCAGAGCAGCCTCAGTGCCACCTCTGTCCTGCTCAGTCCCCTCTGTGCCTTCTCCTAGGGGCCAGGGCTGGACCTGAGGATGCAGATCAGGCCCACAATTGGAGACAGGGGGACACCTTCGATTCCAGAGGACCATCCGGCTCTCTGGGTGTCACCTCGGTCTTCTGGATATACAGTAAGCCAGGGAGGATGTTTGCTGTGAGGGCCCAATGCCAGCCAGGAAGGCCCGCGGTTCAGGATTTCTGCCCATCACCTGCCCTGAGGGACCTGCCACATTTTCTTCCCGTCCATCACCAAGTCCTGCGAGCTTTTCCCCCCCGAAATATAATTTATCTCTGACTGCTCCTGCTGTCCCCACTGCCACCACCCTGCCCAGAGCCACTGTTAGTTCTCTGGGACCCCTGGAACTGCTCCCTACAGGTCCCCATTTCTACTGGGCCCCACCCTGGACACAGAGGCTAGAGATAGCCCTTAGAAATGCAAGTCAGGTTCCCTGAGGGAAAAGCCGCCAGTGGAGGAGAGTTCAGATCCTTTCTCCCACCACAGGGCTTCCTTCCAGGAATAACTTACTGACCATCCTCATGCGTGGAGGTCCACCTCCTCGTCCCCCCACTACCCCTCAGCCTGCTGGCCATCCACGCCCCTCTTTGCTCCAGCGTTTCCCCCCGCTGCTGGAGGCTCCTCAGAGGTTGCCTCCGCCCAGCCCGGGTCCCCTCTCCATTCCTTTTTGAAGTTGAAATTCTATCACAGTGATTAGTTTTGTACCCACGGATTGGATTAATCTGGACAAGCTACACTGGGCGTGTCTCAGTTATCAGTGTGTTTCCAGAGCAGGGTCAGTCTTGCAAATTCGGTCAGGGTGAGGAGCTGGGAGTGTATTCCATTGACCGTGTGACTCTGATCTGTCCCTGTCATGCTGTCTAGGGGCTGAAGGTGGCCGTGCAGATTCAGAGGGCGGCCATGCCAGTTCCCGCACTGGGTGTTCCTGAGCTGGGGACGGCTGGGGGTTCTGGTGAGTGAGCGCCAGTGGAATTGGCAGCCTGGGGGTCCCCGCCTGTGCTGTGTTGTGTCCGGGTACTTGCCCCGCCCCCCCTTTCCTCCGACCGCAGGCATTTCCCTGTACTGGAAGGAGAGAATACATAAAGTCATGTCAACGTTCTTTATGCATTCAAGAGGAAAGGCACCTTTTCAGGATTGTGGGCTGGGAATCTTTTTGGTTTTTTTTTTTTTTTTTTTGGTCTTTGGTCTTTCTGTTAAGAAAGAGCAGATCCCCTTCAGCTGTGGCCAAGTCCAGACCTCTTTTTGGGCAAGGTTAAATTCTCCACAGTTATGTCAATGCTGAAGATGACAGTTGAATTTACTGTAAATGGCATATGTTTTAACTGAGTTTATAAAAAATGAGGTTAAAACAAACCATATGTCCTGAGAAGTGGGGGAAAAATTAATTCCGGGGGACAAATAACATCTTAGCTATAAGTTCAAGGCATTGATCTCCTTCCATCTTGCCTTCTAGTGAGAATAATAAACTTTGTTTCTGAACAATATCATTCAGGCTTGCATTTGGAATCTCTTACATCATTGACAGGAAGTAATTCTTAGATTATGTTATGTGTTGCTCTTCTATGTATTTTTGGTAAGCTTTCTGGCCAAGGCTTTGCCTTGAAGTCCTCTTGAAGTACTTGGAGTACCCTGTGCTCTTGAAGTACGACTCTTCAGGTGCTCTAGGTGGCCACCCTGTGGTGAGTTGGGCACCGGGAGACAATCTCAAACAAAACATTGGCCCCCTCCGCGTGGAGCTCACAGTCTGCCTGGGCGGTCAGATTTTTCAACGAAGACCAGAATACAATGGAAGCATGTAACACGAGGACTTTATCTTGGGGGCAGAGAGGAGTTTCTGGAAACTGGAAGTCAGACCATGGGTTCTCAGCTGCAGCACCACTGACATCGGGGCCGGATCCTTCTCTGTGGTGGGGCCATTCTGTGCACCGTAGGGTGTTTAGCGGCATCCCTGATCTCCAGCCACTAGACACCAGTAGCGCCTCCTGTACTGGTCCACCAGGGCCACTGTAACAAAGTACCACAGACCGAGTGGCTCAACCACAGAAACTTGTTTGCTCACAGTTCTGGAGGCCAGAAGTCCAAGATCAAGGGATTGGCAGGGTTGGTTCTTCTCAGGGCTGTGATCTGTTCCAGGCATCTCTCCTTGGCTTATAGGTGGCTGTCTTGTGTTTTCTTTTTCTGTATGTGTCTCTGTTCAAATTTTGTTTTCTTATAAGGACACCAGTCATATTGGATTAGGGCCCACCCAACTGACCCCATTTTAATGACCTCTTTAAAGACCCCATGTCCAAATATGGTCCTATTCTGAGGTACTGGGTATTTTTTTTTTTTTTTAAAGATTTTATTTATTTAGTTGGCAGAGAGATAGAGAGCACAAGTAGGCAGAGTGTCAGGCAGAGGGAGAGGGAGAAGCAGACTCCCTCCTGAGCAGGAGCCCAATGTGGGGCTCGATCCCAGGACCCCGGGATCATGACCTGAGCTGAAGGCAGACGCTTAACCAACTGAGCCACCCAGGCGCCCCTAGGTAGTGGGTATTAATTAGGACTTCATCCTATGAATTTTTAGAGGGACACAATTAAGCCTGTAACAGCCCCTAGTCATGACAGCTGAAAATGTCTGCAGAAGCTGTGGCTGGTCCCCACCCCCCTGCCCACCAAGATCATATGCTGAAGCCCTAACCTCCCATGTGACCATATTGGGTGGAGGCTGGGCCTTGAAGGAGGTGGTTAAGGTTGCAGGAGGTCATAAGGGTGGAGCCCCAATACCATAGAACTGATGTCCTTGTAAAAAAAGGGAGAGACACCAGAGCTCCCTGCCAAGTGAGGACACAGTGAGAAGACTTGTGTATAAGCCAGGAAGACTGCTCTAACCAGCCCGACCATGCTGGCACCCTGCTTTCAGACTTCCAGCCTCCAGAACTGTGAGGAAGTAAGTTTCTACCATTTAAGCTGCCCTGTCTGTGGTATTTTCTTATGCAGCGGAGCTGACTGAGATACCGGACTTTGCCACGTGTGCCCTGGGGGATGAGTATCGACTTAGACCATGATATTTACTGTATCATTTAGTGTGGCAAGATGTTGGGGTGTTCTGAGAAGGCTTGGGGGGGGAGGATTTCAGGCCTAGGAATGGCATCTGTAAAATTCCTCCCAGAAGGGAGGCAGGCAGGCAGAGAGCCTGGTGTGCCCGAGGGCCCACGGAAGGCTGTGTGAAGGGAGCAGAGGGAAGGGGAGAGTGGTGTGAGCTGACTGCAGATGGTTGGGCTCCAGATCATTCAGGGCCTGGAAGCATGGGAGGAGAATCTGGGCCTGTGTGCTTAAGCTGCCGGGAGCCAGGGATGTGTTTGGGTGAGTGGTGCTGTGCATCTGCAGTTTTAGCAGAACCCTCCAGCACCTGGGAGGTGGCGGGGCCTCAGGGAGGATCCGAGCGGTGGGTGGAGGCAGTGAGGAATGGGGTGGCAGTGGCCTCGACCAGCGGTGAGTGCGGAGTGGGTGTGGCGGGGTCCCTGAGACCACGCCCAGTTGTGGCCATTCGCTAGGACTCCTAGGCCTCGGCCCACAGTCGTACTTATGGTGGTGATTTATCACACTGAAGGGGCGCAGAACTCAGTCCCCTGGAGCATTAGGTGAAGTCTGGGGGAGTCCAGGCACGAGCTTCCGGAGTCACACAGGACATGCTTAATACCCCCAGCAATAAGCTGTGACAACACACGTGAGGTGATGTCTACCAGGGAAGCTCAGGAGAGACTTGGCGCCCAGGCTTTTCACTCGGGGCTGGTCACGTCGGCACTCTCTGCCCAGCATGAACCTGACTCCTGTCAGCAGGTGCCGGACTCCTGGAAGGAGAGCAGGCGTTCAGCACAAACCACAGTGATCATAGAAACAGTTTAAAAAGAGTGAGCCCCTCTTGCCAGTTAGGGTGGAGGGAACCCTCTGGAGATCCATGTTCCCAAGGGCCAGCAGGCAGGCCTATTGTGTTAATTCTTGTCTACAGGGTAGGGATTTGTGGAATGATTTAAGACATAGGCAGGAGGTTGATTTGAGATAATTTGGTGAGTCCTGTATGCTTTCATTTACCAGACAATCCAGAGCATTCATGTGCCAAGCACAGTGCGGGACGGGCGGGAGTGAAAGGAAAGGGAACCCAGGCTTGTTCTTCCGAAGCTTCTAATCCTGCGAGGGTGGCAGAAAATGCACACCTAAGGAAGCCAGTAACCATGTGGTTACAAATAGGCAGGAGCTGTGAGGAAAGGGGGAGGGTCCTTCTAGAGAAAAGAAGGATACTGAGGAGGGGAGGCACTCTGAGGGAGTGAGTGACCTTTAAGTGGATTCAAAAAGGAAAGGCCTGCTGTGGCATGAGCCATGGTGGGGACTGGGGTAGGAGGAAAGGGAGTGGGGTGGGTGGGGGTCAGGAGAGATGAGTGCTCCCTGTAGAGATGTCATCACTGAAGTGGTGTTTTTTTTTTGGTTTAGTTTTTGGATTTTTTTTTTTTTTTTTTGATTAATTGTTGGGGTCTGCAGAGTGTCAGGGGCGAGATTTCCCATCTGAGGCAGGAATGTCGCTTCCTGATATCAGGGACACTGGAAGAACAGCCTTTGAGAGTAAGGTGATGAGCACATTTTTTTGAGGGGGGATGAGACAACAGAAATTCATATCTCACATTTCTGGAGGCTGGAAGTCTCCAGTCAGGGTGTTTGGCAGGGCCGTGCTTCCTGTGAAGCCTGTGGGCAGGCTCCTTCCTGGCAATCCCTGGTGTTCCTTGGCTTGTAGCTACATCGCTGTGTCGTCACAGGGCCCTCTCCCCTCCTGTGTCCCTGCTTCTGTTTTTTCTCCTCTTTGTAGGACACTAGTCATATTGGGTGTGGGGACCATTCCACTCCACTGTAACTTCATCTTAGCTAATCACATCTGCAAAGATCCTGTTTCTAAATAAGGTCACATTTTGAGGTAGTGGGGGCTTACAACTTCACAATTTTGGGGGGACACAATTCAACCCATAATGGTCAGCCCTCTTGATCCCCCTCCCCCAAATTCATGTCCTCTCCACATACAAAATACAGTCAGATGATCTTGACACCCCCAAAGTTTTTACCCATTCCAGCATCAACTCTAAGTCCCAAATCTCATCAACTCAAAAAGTCCCCAAGTCCATATGAATCATCTAAATCTGGCATGGGTGAGACTCGGGTTGTGGTCTCTCCCAGGGGCAAAATTCTTCTTCATCTGTGAACCTGTGAAATGAGAAAACAAGTCCTCTGCTTCCAAAAGACATCAGTGGGACATGCGCAGGGTACACGCTCCCTCTCCCAAAGGGAGAGAAAGAAGGGGTTATGGGTCCCAAGCAGTCTCGAAACCCAGCAGGGCCAGTTTAAGGTCTGCAGCGGCAGCAGCCCTGCCCCCCAGCTCACTGTGGTCGTAAGGCAAATTCCCCAGACAGATGAGTGGGGACCTGAGCTGATGGTGTGGAGGTGGGTCTGGAGTTCAGGGGAGAGAATCAGCCTGGGGGTTTGGGCCCGGTCAGCCGGGCTGGGACCTGATGCCCAGAGTGGGTGAGGCTGCCTGCAAAGGCAGAGGCTGAGGGAAGTGAGAAGGGTGAGGGATGGAGGAGGGTGTTGTACAGGAGACAGAAGGAGCTGGGGGTGTGGTCACTTCAGGGTGGAGGGATTAGATGACTGCACGCATTGACTGGATCCCCACCAGGGATGGGGGGGTCACTGGTGGTCTGAGTGAGGTGCCTGTCCTTGGAGTGGTGATGATTGTGAGTAAGCAGGGGGTGAGGAAATGGACGGTGGGTTGGTTGCCCACAGTGGGGAACAAAAACAGTATGTAGAGGGAAAAGCAGAGTGTTTTGGCTTAAATTGTGGCCCCCCAAAAAGGCATATTGAAGTCCTAATTAGCTGCCAGTACCTATGACTGTGACTGGGACCTTACTTGGAAATAGGTCTCTGCAGCTGCCATCGAGTTAAGGTGAGGTTGGGATGGGGCGGGGTGGGGGAATCTCATCCAGTGTGACTGGTGTTCTTTTAAGAAGAGAAACATGTGGGGCGCCTGGGTGGCTCAGTCGGTTAAGTGTCTGCCTTCGGCTCAGGTCATGATCCCAGGGTCCTGGGATCGAGCCCCGCATCGGGCTCACTGCTCAGTGGGGAGCCTGCTTCTCCCTCTGTCTCTGCCCCTTCTCCCTGCTCTCTCTCTGTCAAATAAATAAAATCTTAAAAAAAAAAAAAAAAGAGAGAAACATGCCAGGGGGAGACAGGGACACAGAGGGGAGAGGACAGCCACGTGATGACAGACGCAGAGATCAGACGGACGCAGCTGCAGGCCAAGGAGCACCCGGGATTCCAGACAGCCACTGCCAGGAGCCAGGAAGAGGCAAGGAGGGATTCTGCCCAGAGCGTCAGAGGGAGCGCAGCCCTGCTGACACCTTGGTCTTGGACTTCTGGCCTCCAGAACCGAGAGAGAATACGCATCTGTGGCTTTAAGCCTCTCAGTTTGTGGTATTTTGTTACACCAGCCCCAGGAGGGGAATATGTGGGGTCAGAGATTGGGCATGGCTCAGGTTTTCTTTTTTTATTATCTGCAATTTATTTTATTTATTTGTATGATATGCATTATTTTTTAGGTCAGGATTGATTTCTGAGGGGGAGGGTCCCATTGCAGTGGGAGGTGAGGGTGCAGGGAGACAAGAGATGGTGTGTGTGGGGTCACTTGCTCGTCTGTAATAGGCTGAGCCAGGAGGCCCCGGGTCGGGGGTGGAGGGGTGTGGTTGACTTGAAGGCAGGAAGGGGAGATGCTGCCTTCTCACAGGCAGACTTGGGGTGTGGGCAGCTTCTCTGTACCCTCCTTGTGGTAAGTCCTGGGGTGCTACTGGCCCTGCAGAGTGGGGCAGAGGAAGGGGCCGAGCAGCTAGGGAGGAATGCTGACCCAGGGCTGAATCAAGGGGCAGTGGGGGGTGCGCCAGAAACTCCAGAGGCTGTTGGTGAATTGAGACCTTGACTCCAGGATTTGGAATGGAAAAAGCATGCACGTGTATGTGCGTGTTTGCACGTGTGTCTGTGTGTTTGTGTGCATGTTCTTCTCAGTATGTGTATGTGCATGTGTATGTATGTTTTGTGTCTGTGTGTATATGTCAGCATGTTTGTGTGAATGCATGCACGTGTGTGAGTGTGCACGTGTCCCTAAGTGTGTGAGCGCGTGCAAGTGCATGTGTGTGTCTCTTGTACGTGTGTGTGTCCCTGTGAGTGTGCACATACGTGTGTGCACATGGGGTCACTCACAGTCGGGGTGGGCAGCCTTCGGTCCTGTGGGTGTGCTCACGGGGCCTCCTGGCCTTCCCTCCTTTTCTATAGCTCTGCTTGCCCCGGACCCTGCCTGGCTCCAGCAGGAGGGCACAGAGGATGAAGCTGTGGCTCCGGGGGTACTGATCACCTGTCTGCGGGTAAGTAAGAAATCCCTGTTGCTCTTCTTGCTTGGGCCCTTGTCCTCTTCCCTTGGCCTAGAGCTTCTCGACCCCACAGGGCTGGTCTCCAGGCCTCCAGGCACTGGACCTCCCGTAATATGTGTCAGGGGGAGGTGCATGGGACATCCCAGGCAGCAGTCCCACTGCTTCATTCAGACCTTCTCTAGCTGTGGAGTGCCTCGTTCTGCTGAGCATCAGGAGGGAAAACAGCAAGGATGTGAGCTGTCCTTGCCTCCTAGTCTTCACGGTCTCTTGGGGCAAACAGTTGTCATTTACTGAATACTTCTCTCTTGCCGGCAACATGCTCAGGTCCGCTGGGATCCTGGAGCTGGAAGGGAAAAAAACTGCCAGGGCTTCCTGGCTAGTTGCCAGTGGCTCAGTCCTTTGATGCCACATGTCTGGATGCTGTCCCTCAGGGAGGAATGAGTAGATAGAGGAGTGTTCTAGTTCTGGGGTCTGAGCCAAAGGTCTGAGAATCCTCTGCATGGGTCTCCCTTGCCCAGGCTGCTGGCCCCCTCGCCAGCCTCCTGAGTACTGGCGGGGGTGGCCCCTGGCTGAGCTGCGATGGGTGTGTGTTTCAGGAACCAGTCACCTTTGCGGATGTGGCTGTGTTGTTCACCCCAGAAGAATGGATGTTTCTAGACTCTGCCCAGAGAAGCCTGTACAGAGATGTGATGCTGGAGAACTATAGAAACCTGGCCTCCGTGGGTAAGGCCAGGCTTGTTGCCTTATCTACACACTCCTGCAGCACCTGTGGGTTCCTGGAGGTGTGCTGGTTTGGGAAATCAAGAGGTGAAAAAAACAGACAAATCCTGCTCTCATGGTGCTTACAGTTTAGGGGCTCCCCTGTGGAAATGAAGGTATCTTTGCTGCTGTTTCTCCATGGTTAAAAGTTTCTGGGCTTTTCAAGTGTGTCTCTGAGTGAGGCCCTGGGTTTTGGGGACTGGAGAATCCCATTGTCCTTTGGGACCCAGTGAGGGAGCTTATACTTTGGTTCCTTAGTGTAAGAGCCCTGCCATGCCCGTGAGAATGCAGGCAGGCTCGTTTTGCTCTTCCCATCCCCGGTGCGCCTAAAGACTTAGAATATCAACCCTGGTTAGTGGCAGGCACGGTCTGCTCACACCCTGCATCTTTCCCATGAGCAGGAGATCAGCTAGGCAAACCCAGTACGTTTTCCCATTTGGAGCCAGGAGAAGAGCTGTGGCCCCCTGAGAGAAGAAGCTTCCCAGGAACCTGTCCAGGTGAACAGCAGGCAGATCAGGGAGCAACAGCTCTGACCGAAAGATGAGTGTTAGGTTTGGAAATTGTCGGTAAGGGAAACACTTCGAGTGCCCTTGACGGGTGCTGCTTTACTGGATTCCACCTCCTTCCTTTTTGTCCATAATACTCTACTCTGGTTTCATAGAATGATTTGTCCTACCTCCTCTTCACATTTATCATTTCCATGTGTATAGTTTATCATGTGTGGATTTTATGTGTATATAGCATGTGTATGCTTATCCAGTGCCTCCCCAGTGTATCTTTTTGCCAATACTTTCTCTCAATTTCAGTCTCAATCTTCATAGAACTCTTTCTCAGTAACTTAACATCTACCATCTCCGTTCCTTGTTCCTATGGTTATGTGACTCCTTACATGGCCAAATACCTTAAAATTTCCTTTATTCTTTGATACATTCTTCCTCTTCACAATTTCCTCCCATAGTTGGAATCAGTATTTTTTATTTTTTTAAAAAAGATTATTTGTGTGTGTGAGAGAGAGAGTATTTGTGCACATGAGTTGGGGGAGGCGCAGAGGGAGAGGAAGAGAGAGAATCTCAAGCAGACTCCCTACTGAGCGCAGAGCCTGATGCGGGGCTTGATCTCACAGCCTTGAGACCATGACCTGAGCCAAAATCAAGAGTTAGACACTTAACTGACTGAGCCACCCAGGCGCCCTAGAATCAGTATTTAAAAAAGAAAATCCACATGTTCTCTGCTTAGTTTTTTGGTTGCCTTGGTCCCACAGTTTCCTCCCCCGTGTACTTAATTTTTCTATCCTTATTCATTCCAGAACCTCAGCATCAACCCCAAGATCCAATTTCTAACCAAGATATTTTTGCAGAGATTCCATCCATTGGCATGAAAAGGGTAAGGTGCCCAAGGATTCTTCTTGGTTCTCTGTTGTAGGACAAGTCTGGGGTTGCTGTAGATTAGAAAAGCAGCACAAGAGGCCAGAGAGAGAGAGATTGAGAGAGAGAGAGAGAGAGAGAGGGAGAGAGATTCAAGGCAAGTGGTGTTTACCCAGGGGAAAGCAGGTTCTTGGGAGAGAGTCTGTGAATGTCATGAGTTGGGGAAAACCCTCCATGTAGATCAAGGCATGTATTTCCCAGAGTTTCCACAAGCAGCCATGTTTATAAATGTGAACAGACATCAAGTGTTTAAAACTTAATTTGCCTTTAACTTGGCAAAACTCTGCGTCTAAGAGGCCTCACAAACGTAACAAAAATGACAGCTCTCTGTGGCAGAGCATCCACTTGAAGGGACTCAGGGTAGAAATGGTCCAGACGCACTAAAATGGTAAAAGCTTCAGCTATAGAAATGCCTTTTCCCTACACGTAATTCACCTGGGGGAGAGTCTGAACGTAATAGAGTCTTTGGTCTTCCTGTTTTCCTCACTTGACAGGAGCAACCCCAGACTGGAGATAAACTCTATAAATACAGTGAACTTGGGGAACCCTTTCACGGCATTGAACCACTTTTTCAGTACCAGAGAATTCATGCTGGAGGCGACCCCTATGAATGCCATGAGGGTGGAAAATCCTTCTTCCAGCCCGCTCACCTGATTGTACCTGATAAGATCCGTCATGGGGACAAAACCTATGCATGTAACAAATGTGAGAAATCCTTCAGATACAGCTCCGACCTGATCAGGCACCAGAAGACTCATACCACAGAGAAGTGCTTTGAATGTCTGGAGTGTCGGCAAGCCTTCAAGTACTCCTCGAATCTGCGGCGCCACCTGAGGACTCACACTGGGGAGAAGCCCTTCGAATGTGCTCAGTGTGGGAAAACCTTCACAAGGAACTTTAACCTGATTCTGCACCAGCGAAACCACACGGGCGAGAAGCCCTATGAGTGTAAGGACTGTGGGAAAGCGTTTAATCAGCCGACCTCTCTGAGGAGCCACCTGAGGACTCACACCGGGGAGAAGCCCTTTGGATGCAGTCAGTGTGGGAAAGCCTTCAGGGAGCACTCGTCGCTGAAGACGCACCTGCGCACTCACACCAGGGAGAAGCCGTATGCGTGTAACCAGTGTGGGAAGCCCTTCCGGACGAGCACTCATCTCAACGTCCACAAGAGGATACACACCGGGGAGAAACTGTATGAGTGCGCTACTTGTGGGCAGGTCTTGAGTCGCCTCTCAACACTCAAGAGTCACATGCGAACTCACACTGGAGAGAAGCCCTATGTGTGTCAGGAATGTGGACGAGCTTTCAGTGAACCTTCATCCCTCAGGAAACACGCGAGGACCCACACCGGCAAGAAGCCCTATGCCTGTCAGGAATGCGGGCGAGCCTTTGGTCAGTCTTCACACCTTATCGTGCACGTGAGAACTCACACTGCGGGGAAACCCTATGAATGCAATCAGTGTGAGAAGGCCTTCAGGCACAGCTCTTCACTTACTGTGCATAAAAGGATTCATGCCGGGAGAGAGAACGTTAGGAACGGTGGCCTGCCTTTATCAGTGTCCCATCCGTGTGGGAGGCCCCTTGCTGACTGACTTCCAAGTTTTAAAAGTATACACGTTCTGGGCTGTAATCATCTCTCGTAGTACTGGTTTAGCTACGTCACATGTTTTGATGTATAATATTTTCATTTTGGTTAAAATCTAAATATTGTCTTAGTTTCTATTATCACTTACTCTTTGGCCTGTGAGTTATTTGTAATTAGATTTTAAAATAACAGGACATGGGTTTATTTTTATAGAGGTATAATTGCTTATAGTGAAATGCATAAATCTTAAGTGTACAGTTGGAGAACTCTGACAGGTGCGTACACATATATATGTAACCAACACGCCATTTAAGATAGAGAACATTTCTATCCTTCTGGAGAGTTCCTGCGTGTGTATGGGTGTTTTTTTACTTTATAACTTTCTGCTGTTGGTTCTAATTTAATTACATTGTGAGCAGAGAATGTGGTCTTTATGTTATTGAATGTTAGGTATCTGTTTTTAGTGTGGTGTATCCTGTTAGTTGCCTGTCAAAATTGCCCCTTCTTCCTTACGAAAGGACTTACGTTTTTTGGTTCAGATTGGTAACGTGCACTGTTAAAAAAAACCTCTATCTCCCAGTCCTTGCAGCTGGAGGAGGGGCCGCGTGCCCAGTCCTGGCCTTTCTAAGTCTGAGAAGTCATTGGGTGTGATACCTGGGAAGGATGTTGCAAAGGACATTTAGCTTGATCCCTGCACGTCTTGCCCTTTGTACAAACAGACATGATGTCTGGTGCTAGAGGAACCATCCCATGACCATGAGGGTAAAAACTACAGGCTGAGGAGAGTGTGGCCAGAAGTCACACCAACCCGTTTCCCCGTGGTATCTTTGTGTAGCTGCCCTGGACTGTTTGTTTGTGGACATCTTGTGACATGAAAAAGATGCACTTCTTACTGGCACATGACATTGCTGTTTTGGGGGTGGGGTGGGAGAGGGTAGGATGGGTTTATTACCACCAAATGCAGTATCTCACTGATGCACTTAGTATAGGGTCAGTTTTCATAAATGCTTCATGGGTGGTTGAAATCAATGTATTGTATTACACATATGTCTACTAGATTTGAGCATATTATTTGTGTTTCAAAATCTTCTAAACATTTATACATATTGGTCAATATCAGTCTGGGCTGCATAACAAAATTACCATCGATTGAGTGGCTGATAAACAACAGAACTTTTTTCTCATAGTTCTGGAGACTGGAGTCCAAGATCAAGATGCCAGCAGATTGCTCTCTGGTGAGGCCTGCTTCATGGTTCATAGATGGCCGTCTTCTTGCCTGGTCCTCACATGGCAGAAAGAGAGCAGGGGAGTGCTGGGGGGTGTCTTGTAGAAGGGCACTCGTCCCATTCATGACGGTTCCACCCTTATAACCCAGTCACCTCCCGAAGTCCCACCTCCTAATACCATCACAGTGGGAATTAGGCTTCAGAATGTGAATGGGGGGGAGGGGGCACAAACATTCAGTCCACATCCGTCTATGATGTGCGTACTGAGACAGCTATGTTAAGCTCTCCCACCATGATTGCTGAATAAATCTTGTAATTCTGTCAACTTTTAAATTTATATATTTTGAAGCAGTCAAATGAGAAGATTTTTGATATTTAATGTTTTCAGCAAATTGTTCCTTTTATTCTTCTAGTGACCATCTTTCTCCCTAGTGATGAATATTCAACTATTCATTTTCATAACAGCAAGTCATTGTTTGGAGCTTACTGTTAGCAGATAGTAGATACTACCCTAAGCTTTGAATCTTCTAAGTTACTTGTTTTGCACAATGACACTTTGAGGTAGACACTATTATCATCCCCAGTTTATGGATGAGGAAACTGAGGCCAAGCCAGTCGAGGTGAGTTAACCAAGGTCATACAGGTGGTAAGTGATGGAGTCTGGCTCCAAAATGCAGGGGCTGAACACAGTGCTTTACTCTGGGGGACTTTTCTTCCTTTGTATCTGTTCTCAGTCTCACAGGGATCTGTTTTTGTGTGTTGTTGGGTTTTCTTTTTTCTTTTTCTTTCTAGAGAGAGACGGAGAGAAGAGGGAGGCGCAGAAGGAGAGGGAGAGAGAGAGTCAAGCAGGCTCTGTACCCAGCGTGGAGCCCAACGCAGAGCTCAATCTCACAACCCTCAGATCACAACCTGAGCCAAAATTGAGTCAGATGCTTAACCGACTGAGCCACCCAGGTGCCCCTGTTTCTGTGTTTTAAAATTCTAGGGGCGCCTGGATGGCTCAGTCGGTTAAGCATCTGCTTTCGGCTCAGGTCATGATCTCCAGGTCCTGGGATCCAGCCCCACGTCAGGCTCCCTGCTCAGTGGGGAGTCTGCTTCTCCCTCTCTCTCTGCCCCTCCGCCCCCGCTTATGCTCTCTCTCTCAAGTAAATAAAATAAAAAAATCTAACAGTTATAACTTGTGTAAAAGTTCATAAATCCTAGTGCACGCCTTGTGAATTTTATATATGTCTACACCACCATATCAGGATGTTAAACATTTTATCTCCCCAGAAGCTTCCCTTGGGCCCTACCCTGGCCAATAAGCCCCATCCAGAGGTAATAAGTATTCTGATTTCTGTCACCATAGATTTGTTTTTCCTGTTCATAGAAATGGAACCCACACTCTACCCTCTTGTGGCTGGCTTTTCATTTAATATAGTGTCTGTGAAATTTATTTTGCCACATTATCAGTAGTTTATTCTCTTTAAAAACTGTTGGGTAATATTCCATTGTCTGAATATCCCACAGCCAAAACATTCCATTCTGTTTATGGACATTTGGGTTCTTTCCAGATTTTTCTGTTAGGAATAAAGCTGCTGTGAATGTTCTTGGACAAATCTTACCGTGAACAAATGTTCTCATTTCTCTCAGGTGTCAGCCTGGAGCAGAATCGCTGGGTCATTGTGTAAGCAGACTGTGAGCTGTGGTATATACTGCCAACAGTTTTCCAAAGTGGTTGAAACAACTTTTACATCCATTATCAATGCATGAAAGTTTGGTTTGCTTCACGTCCTGATAATGCATGCTGTTAGTTTAATTAAATTACTTAAAAAATTTTTATTGTTATGTTAATCACCATACATTACATCATTAGTTTTTGATGTAGTGTTCCATGATTCATTGTTTGTGTATAACACCCAGTGCTCCATGCAGAACGTGCCCTCTTTAATACCCATCACCGGGCTAACCCCTTCTTCCACCCCCCTCCCCTCTAGAACCCTCAGTTTGTTTTCCAGAGTCCATCGTCTCTCATGGTTCGTCTCCCCCTCCGATTTCCCCCTTTAAATTGAATTTACATATAGCATATTATTAGATTTAGAGGAAGAGTTTAGTGATTCTCAGTTGCATACAACACCCAGTGCTCATTACATTAGGTGCCCTCCTTAATGCCCATCCCCAGTTACCCCATCGCCCCACCCGCCTCCCCTCCAGCAACCCTCAGTTTGTTTCCTATAGATAGGAGTCTCTTACGGTTTGTCTCCCTCTCTGATTTCATCTTATTTTATTTTTGTCTCCCTTCCCCTGTGATCCTGTTTTGTTTCTTAAATCACACATATGAGTGAAATCATATGATAATTGTCTTTCTCTGATTGACTTATTTTGGTTAGCATAATACTCTCTAGTTCCATACATGTAATTGCAAATGGCAAGATTTCATTTTTTGATGGCTGAGTAATATTCTATTACACACACACACACACACCTTCATCCATTCATCTGTCAATGGACATCTGGGCCCTTTACATATTTTGGCTATTGTGGACATTGCTGCTATAAACATTGAGGTGCAGTTGCCCCTTTGGATCACTGTGTTTGTATCCTTTGGGTAAATACCTAGTAGTGCAATTGCTGGGTTGTAGGGTAGCTCTATTCTCAACTTTTTGAGGAACCTCTGTACTGTTTTCCAGAGTGGCTGCACCAGTTTGCATTCCCACCAGCAGTGTAAGAGGGTTCCCTTTTCTCTGCATCCTCACCAACATCTGTTGTTTCCTGACTTGTTAATTTTAGCCATTCTGACTGGTGTAAGGTGGTATCTCGTTGTGGTTTTGATTTGTATTTCCCTGATTCCAAGTGATGTTGAGTATTTTTTCATGTGTCTGTTGGCCATTTGTATGTCTTTGGAGAAATGTCTGTTCATGTCTTCTGTCCATTTCTTGACTGGATTATTTGTTCTTTGGGTGTTGAGTTGGTAAGTTCTTTATTGATTTTGGATACTAGCCCCTTATCTGATAAGACATTTGCAGATATCTTCTCCCATTCTGTCAGTTGTCTTTTGACAGACAAAATCTCCAGTAAGGGATTCTCTAGTGTCTTCTATGCTTTTTCTTTTTTTTTTTTTTTTTTTTTTTTTTTTTTTTTTTTTTTTAAGATTTTTTTTATTTATTTATTTGAGACAGAGAGAATGAGAGAGAGAGAGAGCATGAGAGGGGGGAGGGTCAGAGGGAGAAGCAGACTCCCCGCCGAGCAGGGAGCCCGATGCGGGACTCGATCCAGGGACTCCAGGATCATGACCTGAGCCGAAGGCAGTCGCTTAACCAACTGAGCCACCCAGGCGCCCCTTCTATGCTTTTTCAAACCCAGTTTGTATCATTTTAAAAAAATTTAAATTCAATTAGCCAAGTTCAGCTTGTATCTTTATAATAGTTGCTTTGAATTCTAGTTCTGATGTCTTACTTGTATCCATATTGATTACACCCCTGGTATTGAGTGCTGCCTCTTATGCTTTGTTTTTGGGTGAGTTTTTCTATCTCATCATTATGTCCAGAAAATAATAGATGAAAGAGAGAGAAAATACAAAAATAGCAACAACACCAGAAGAATACAGACTAAACAAATTGGGGGATAACAGAAACAAACAAAAGAGAGAGAGAGAAATCAAGCCAGAAGTTGAACAGAACACAAGAATAAACTAGATCCTGGCAGTATTTTGGTTTGTTTGTTAGAAGAAATTAGATACCAAAATAGGAAAAAAGAAAAAAAAATGAAACCAAAATGCAAAAATATACATAATGTAAATATAAAAATAAAAATTGAAAAAGACAAAAAAAGAATTGATAAAATAAGAAATTAGTTGAAAAGAAAAAAATGTAAAACTGAAAAACTAAGGAATAATAAGAAAACCATGAATGCTATATACTATTTTCCCCGAGAGTTGGAGTTTTGCATCTCTCTGTGATCAGTAAACTTGGTGCTACCTGGTTGTTCCTGCTGGTCTTCTGGGGGAGGTGCCTGTTGGGTTGACTCAGGGGTCTTTGCTCAGGTGGAATTGCACCCCCCTTGCCATGCTGGCTCAGTGTAAGTGGCTCCAGATTGTACTATGTGATGCTATTTTGCTCCCTGAAGGCTTTTAGCACTAATGGGGGGATGGAAATGGCTGCACCCCGTCTCCAGCTGGGTAGCTGAAAGGTTGCACCCCTACCTCTCAGTGTGCC